TTCAATTCAGGCATTTTAATTTTTTTTTTTTGAGTGCATTATTCTGAGCCAAGGTGTGGTCACAATTCCCTCACCTCAGATGAAGTTTTGCTCAAATAAAGTAGGCTTTATAACTTAATTAGACCATCATACTACCTCTATCTGCCTCTTAAAACAAAACAAAACCAAAAAATGTTATGAAATGAAAATGGGGGGAAAACTTTCTTATGAGCATTGATCTTGAACCTCTCAAATTACACAAAACCTCCATTCTCAAATTACCCCAAGGATCAGTAAGGCTTCCCACTTCTTCCCCATGGATGATGCATCAGGCACTATGATCCTTGAAATACATCATGTAAGTAAATTACTCAGACTGGCTAGTTCCTAGATATGACATTTTCCTTGCTAAATAGCTCATACTAGTCTTCTATTGTAAAGCACGTTGTATGACCTAGTTATAATCCAAAGCACACTATATTTCTAGTAATTTGCTAATTATTTTGAGCAATTTATAATCCTGAGATCACTAAGGTGAGCTGAAGATGTCCATCCACATTCTAGATTTAAGTTTGCTCTAGACAGAAGAGAGTAAGGATGAGACTTAATAGACTCTCAGAGAAAGGTGGAAGGGAAATTATGCCTACCAAATTGTTCTTTGAAGTGTGTCAGAGGGAGTGCTATACAGTGAAAAGAAAACTATACTCCAAGTCAAAACCTAGTTGCTCATCAGCTGTGTGACTCTGGGAAGAGAATTCAGACGTCCTGAGCCACAGCATCTCTGTTCACCAAACATATAAAACCTTGTCATATGGTTGTAAAGATCAAGTGAAAGAAAGTAGATCCCATGAGATAATGCAAAAGTGCTAGTAAGCTAGAACATGCTATGGGAGGCTCACTCTGTAGTGGTGAACAAAGTATTATTAAATACAATAATTATAATACTATGAATGTTGAAACAGACATAAGAAAAAGAGGGAGCACATACTTTGGCCTCACAGAGAAGAGCTCAGGCTGAGGAGGCTGAGGCTGGCTGACCCTGGGATGGATGAGTTGGACTCCATTGTTACAGAAGAAGTCAGGGCTACAAGAGAACAACCTGAGCAAACACACTCACTCTTGGGCAAGGGAGATTATGCCCGTTGGAAAAATGTGGGGGCTAAAACACAGTGTGCCTACAGAGGTGTGGTGGGAGATGACAGCAGAGAGAAAGGCAAGCACCAGATCAGAGAGGACCTGTGCCTACACCAAGAAGTCTAAACCCGTCCTGTGAGTGTTGGGAAGACATTGAAGAGACGTGTCAAAACAACACAACAACAAAAACAAAAAAACAGTAGTATCAAAACTCCTGTTTTACAAATTTTTCCTATATACCAGGAGGTTTCTGCTCTAGCTGGGTGTTCCTGGACAAAGATTTTAACACAAAGATTTGTGGCCATAAATATATAAAAAGAAATGACGCTAGCTCGGGAGACATGGCGGGCGTTAAAGCTCTTGTGGCGTTATCCTTCACTGGGGCTACTGGGCTGACTTTTCTTGTGCTGGGATGTGCCTTGGAGGATTATGGTGTATACTCTCCCTTTTTTGTCCTGATTTTCCATGCCATCTCCCCTATTCCCCATTTCATCTCCAAAAGAGTCACATATGACTGTAACACAACTAGCAGTGCATATTTCTTCACTACTGGAATTGTTGTTTCTGCCTTTGGATTTCCTGTTATTCTTGCACGTGTGGCTGTGATCAAATAGGAAGCCTGTGGCCTTGTGCTGCAGGCAACACTGTCATTTTTCTTACAATTCAAGGTTTTTTCCTGGTATTTGGAAGAGGAGATGATTTTAGCTGGGAGCCATGGTAGCACTTTATTTTGATAGAGAACACTGTATTTCTTAAGATTTGTACTGTATGTATATGTGTGTACCCGTGGCATTTTACTATGGGATTTAATATGCTGGGTTTTTTATACCTTTATATCATGATCACTCTAAGGAAGACTTCCTAAGTAAAAGATTAGTTTTATTCCTAGATAATGGACCACTATTTTTACTGAAGTTGAACTATGTTATTTGTTTGGCTGTTCACATAGCCAAACAGCTGCTCATCTGTACAGGCCACCTAAACCTTTTGTGTGGAGGTGTGCTTAGACAGGTGAAGACACTGAAGCAGGTCTTTTATAGCTCAGAAAAACTTGGCTCCCTCTGTGTTGTAGACCCTTGCTTCTCAGAATGTGGTCCACAGACCAAGAGCACCAGCATCTCCTAGCTTATTGGAAATATAAAATCTGAAGCTCCTCTGCCCACCACCCAGACCCAGTGCATTTTGATGAGTGAATCATATTCACATTAGAGTTTGAGAAACTTTGTTATAAACATCATACCTAGCTAGCTTCCTTGTCTTCCCCTTGGATCGATCACTTACCCTCTCTAGGAGTTCTGCTCATTTGAGGGAAAAAAATGCCCTTATGTGAGGAGGAGTTCAGACTCTCTTTGGTGTTTGTGAACTGTTCCAAACTGTAATATATGGGCTATTTCCCAAATTTGTGGAAAGTGTTTTCAGTGGGAAGCAGATATGTCCATCATCTGAAAGGCGGTGCCTTTTTCACAGTGCTAGGGCACAAAATAACCCAAGCCCCACTGGCATGCAGGAGAGGAAGGCTGGGCTGGAACCAGTCCCTGCTTTAATTATGAGGAGAGAAGAAGAGATAGGCATCACTTTTAAATTTCCCTTATTAGTCTTGCACTTCTTCCTAACCCCTTCCTAATGCTACCTTATCCCAACTCCTCAGCAGTTCTGATTTGCCCTTTCTTCTTGATGGCTCTGCCCTTCTCCTTTCTCAAGAAATACTGGAGCCAAGTAAGCAAGCCAAAAGTGAACTGCTGGAGTTTATTTACATGTTAATATACTTAATGGCACTTCATTCAAAACTTTATGCCACCTTTAAATAAATTATGGGAAATACATGTCATGTTGTATCTTATAATCATAGTTTTTCTAGCTCATCTTTTTGTCCACAAACCCACTGAGAAAAGAAAATATAAGAAATAGAACCACTTGATAAGAAGAAAGCCGATGGTTTTAAAACATTAATGTGGCAGTTGACATGTGTACAAAGCACTTCCACCTTGAGGTTTGTAATCTTAGTAATTAGCACACCCTTTGTTTGTTGGTGTGATGTTGGAACCAGAAGAGAAAAGTGATAACTAAAAGAATAATGTGCAATGTTGTTTTTTGGCCTTGTGCATGATTTCATGTTTTCAATATTCCGTGTACACACAGAATTGTTGAAGTTGTCATTTGCAATATTTACATTGGGAAAATTATTTAAATACTTTGTAATTTTAACTGGCATTTTCAACCATGACACTTGCACTTATTATATTATAATAAATTTCACTTTTAACACACACAAAAAAAGAAAAAGAAATGACAATACATTTATGGAGTCCTTATTCTGTGCCAGGCACTGTGCTGTGCCCTTTGTGTCTCTTTCTCTTTGGGAAAACTGCAATGAGGGCATGTTCATCCATATTATGCAAATGAGGAAACTGAGGTTCAAAAAAAGAAGTCTCCTGTATAAATTCAAAGAGCCACTAAGCAGCAGAGCCACCACTAGACTTTAGATCTAGCTGTTTATTTTAGCCAAAACGCTACAGAAAAAAAACAAGCACACTATTTTTTTATTTAAATGAAAATTTGATTCCAACTACTTCTGAATATTATGATGTATTATAAAAATTAAAAATTTGGGAGGTCAGGCATGGTGTCACACATATATAATCCTAGAGGCTGAGGCAGGAGGATCTTGAGTTCAAAGCCAGCCTCAGCAACTTAGCGTCCCTAAGAAACTCAGTAAGACCTTGTCTCTAAATAAAATAAAAAAAAGAACTGAGGATGTGGTTCAGTGGTTAAGTGTCACTGGGTTCAATCCCCACTACCAAAAAAGAGAAAAAAGAAAAATTTTAAATTCTTACCTCAAATACTACCTCCCAACAACTTAAATATTTCTTTTTTTTTTATTTTTTTATTGGTTGTTCAAAACATTGCAAAACTCTTGACATATCATATTTCATACATATTTCTTACTCTATACAAATCACAGTATTTACTTTTTTTTTTTTTTTTTTTTGGTGGTGGTGCTGGGTATTGAACCCAGGGCCCTATGCATGCTAGGCAAGCACTCTACCAATTGAGCTATATCCCCAGCCCCCAAAATCATAGTATTTACTTTTAAAAGACTGATATAGATATAACCTATTCCATTATCTATAGATTTCTATCTTAACCTCAAGGACAAGAAGCTAATCAATCAAAAGACATTTTTAATCAAGAAAATATTAGAAAAGCATCTTAGAATCCTTATCATAAATGACTAAAAAAAAATATGACTTTTAAGTATTGTCCTAAATATTTGTATAGTACTAGCCATAATCTTAATAGTACTTTAAAATATATAGTTTTATAAATATAGATTTTTTTTTCAATAGCCTTAGTTCTTCTATACTAACTCACTCTACAATTCCAATATTTGTTTTATCAACAACATAAAGTCTAGTGGCTAAGGAATTTTTCAAATTACCAAACTCCATAAAAAGCACTTAAAAAAAAAAAAGCAGTACTTTGAGATGCACATACAGAATTCACATGATTGACAGATCCTTCCCAAATAACATTACTAATAGTCCTTTCTATTGAGGCAGAATAGGCAAAAATAAGGATATGCATTTAAAAGAGGCTATGCAAAAAGTACAAAATAATGCCAAGCAAACTATGGCTAACCAATTGGTAATGCAAATAAAATGCATACTTTCAGAGTAAGAAATCAGAGATATCAAATTCCCAGAGAGCCAGACAGGAATAAAGACATTTAAGTGCTACAGACTGAAAGGGTTCTACAGTTGGAAAAATACAGATATATCTTTAAAAAAAAAAACATGAGAGAGAGAGAAAGCAGTAGGATTAGTGAAGAAGGGAGGGTTAAGTTTTCCACAGAGTCTGTGGGTGTTACCCCATGGGACCTTCATTACCTTGCAGTGACACCTGGAGATGGTCAATGCCCAAGGCAGCCTGTTGATTTCTGTGGGGAAGGTCAGGACTAGATGCCATTTTTTGACTCGATGGAGATTATCTCATGTCCATCTCAGTTACAGAAGTGAACTGAAAGTGAAAAGGGAGAAATGTTCATTAGTGACTCCGCAGCTCTGCATTTCTGATAAATGTACCCTGACAAGAAAACAGCAACAAGCAAACACTGCCCTCCAAAAGAAGTGCACACAGGTTTCTGGGAGTGTTTCCGCAGTCCATGGGGAACAAAGTAACCTACGCCTTCTCTTTGAATCACAATCAAGATTTTGCCCTGTGACCTATTCAAGCGCTTTGGAATTACTGGCAGAACTCCAAAAGAACTAGTATTGTGGATTCCATACCAGCCGTGAAAAGGAAACTGAAATTCAGTAACTTTCTAGAGGAAACAAAGTGGACATAAACTGGTATCTTAGGCATTAGCCTGTGTGTTGTTAACCTTCAACCACGAGAATTTTCTTCAAAACATTTTATTTAATTTAGTTCCTTTTCTGATCCATAAATGTTGCCATTCACTGGCAACAAGAGCTGAGACTGCATTAGCTTACATCTATCTATTATATTATTTTCCCAAGTACTTATTTTTCCACCTACACATTTCTCCCTTGGCCTCTTGAGTCTCTTGAATCTTACTTACTTACTTACTTAGGTGTTTTGTTTTGTGGTGCTGGGGATTGACTCCAAGGCTTCATGCAGAAGAAGCAGGTGCTCTGTTTCTGAGTTACACCCTGCCCTTCACCTTGAATCTTAATTCTTCGAATAAACTCCTTACATCACAACTCTAAAAAAGCATTGGATGTGTGTATGTGTGTGTCTACTAATTTCTGGGGACTGAGAATAAAATAATGACTTCACTCAAGAAGATAATTAAATAATAGAATAACCCTAAACAGGGGCTGGGGTTCTGGCTCAGTAGTGGAGCGCTTATCTAGTATGTGTGAGACACCAGGTTCAATTTTCAGCACCACATAAAAATAAATAAATAAAATAAAGGTATTGGGTCCATCTACAACTAAAAAATTTTTAAAGTTAAAGAATAAAATTAACCTGGGCTGGGGTTGTGGCTCAGCGGTAGAACACTCGCCTAGCACTTGCGAGTCCCTGGGTTGGATCCTCAGGACCACATAAAAATAAATTAAAGGTATGTGCCCATCTACAACTTAAAAAAAAATTAGAATAAAATTAACCAAATATACCAAATGTATGCACAGGGCTTAGGATGTAGCTCAGTGGTTCAACACTTGTCTATGATGTGCCCAGCCCTATGTTTGATTCCCAGTTCCACAATCGATCAATCAAGATCAAATAAGATGGACGTACAGCTTTGTAACCAAGCAAGTATTGGATGAAGTTAATGTTAGAATCTGTGTGTAGGGGCGTGGCTCAGAGTAGAGCACTTACCTAACATGTTAAAGGCCCTTGGTTCAATCTCCAGCTGCAGGATGGGGATTGAGGAGGTGAGGGTGGAACAGAGGTGGGGAAACAGTGTTGAATATGTGAACATATACTGTAAAATACCTTAACTCTGCTATAACTAGAAATTTATCGTAATAAAATGCTGAAGGGAAAACCAAAAAATAAATCTGAGGCCAACAGCTAGATACAATCAGTCATATTAAATATTAAACAGACTATTTTTAAATATGCAGAGGATAAAAATCATTAAACAGTTCAAAAATCTTTCCATCCCTTCCTCCCCAATGTTTATTATCAAAACCACTCCTTTTATTATCTTTCCTGTAGATCACTGTTATTAAAGATTTTATCTACCAAATAAACTTTATCAGTAATTCAGTTGCTTACCCTCTGAATTAAGATGCATCAGAATCAGCCAGAGTTAACAGAGTAGCTCTACTGAATTGATTCATTCTAACTAAAAAGATTAACTTATTAGTTCCCAAGGGCCTGATTATATCTAGCTGTAGCCTGGTGACAAAGAAAGACAGAGGTCCTCAGCCTTGTGATATACTGAGGACATTCACTATCCCTTTCCACATCCTCCAGCTCCTAAAACCCAAAGTGGAGACAAAGTACTACTTCATTTTCACAGAAGAAAAACTGAATCCAGAATGAATTTCCTAAGGATACCTATTGTTCTATCCAGGGCTATTTTTAAAGGGGAGGGGGGATAGTAACAATAGTAGCAGCCACCTTATGCAGCACTCACTATATATAGGCACTGTTCAAAGCACTTGGCATATACCACCCTTTATAAGAACTGTCTGAGCTTGGTACTGCAATTATCCCCACATTTGAGAAGACAACCAAGAAGCTGGGCATGGTAGCACACACCTATAATCCCTGCAGCTCAGGAGACTGAGGCAGGAGGATTGCAAGTTCAAAGCCAGCCTCAACAACTTAGCAAGGCCCCAAGAAAATCAGGAAGACCCTGCCTCTAAATAAAATACAAAGGGTGGGGATGTGGCTCAGTGGTTAAGTGCCCCTGAGTTCAATCTCCAGTACTCCCTCCACCAAAAAGACAACTAAGATGCACAAATATGATATGCAGTTGTCTAAGGACACACAGCTAATAAACAATAGAGCCAAGATTTGCATCTAGGTGGTTTATACTCTAAATCAATACATGACCGTACTCCCACAGATAGCTAGAAGTTTGCCATGTGTCATTCATTCCTTTTTTTTTTTTTCTTAATAATACTAGGTACTGAACCCAGGGGCACTGTGCATTGAACTACATGCCCAGCTTTTTTTGTCTTTATTTTGAGACAAGGTCTCTCTAAGTTGCCCAGGCTGTCCTTGAACTTGAAATCCTCTGCCTCATCCACCCAAGTCACTGGGATTGCAAACATGCGCTACCGCACTCAGCTGTTCTTTTACTCATTTACTCAACAAACATTGCTATGTACTAGAAGCTGATCTCAAAGAATCCAAACTGAGAATAACAAATAAATACAATATGAAGCACAATTCTCTAAGAGAGGAGTGTAGGGGATTCTCTGTGGCCAAGAAGGTATGCCTGCTCCATCACTTGAAGGTAGAGATAGATATGACCATCAGCAGCTGCAATGGACAGAATTTGTATTTCCCTCAAGATTCCAATTGAAATTCTCACCCCCAGGTATTGAGTGGTGGGGCCTTTGAGAGATGATGTCATGAGGCAGGAGCCCTATGAATGAGATCAGTGCCCTTATTTTAAAAAAGGGTGGAGAGAGACCTGTATCTACTTCCACCATGCCAGGTTACAGAGAAGTTGGCTGTCTATGTGGAAGTGGGTCCTCACTAAACCCTGCCTCTGCTGCTAACCTGATCTTAAACTTCCAAGCCTATAAAACCAAGAGAAATACAGTTCTGTTGTTTTTTGTTGTTGTTGTTGTTGTTGTTGTTGTTGTTTTAATTTTTACAGTAATAGGGATTGAACTCCGGGCCTCACACACACTAGGCAAGTATTAAGAGCAGCCTAACTGAACTAGGACAGGAGTTATACATATTAAAACAGCGTGTCACTCTAAAAAATCTCATTAGCGTTGGCATTATTTGGATACCTTGAACTTGGTAAGAGTTTCTCTGAAAACCACTCACTGCCACTACTAATCAAATATAAAGTACCAAATATAGGGGAAATAATACATATTTTCTTATTTATAAGAAAACATTTATGAAAGTATTTCCTATTTATATTACAAATAAAAACAAAAGAATAAATAATAAGTTAATAACAAGCTAATAACCAAATTAAGAAATATTCCCATTTAGACTGATGTATGGAATTTACTGTATTGTATATTAGAGCTGTAGGAAAAATTTGGTAAAAATGGCAAAAATAAAGAACAGGCTTTAAGATAACTAGATGTCTCAGTTTGATTTTTACTGTAAAAAAATTTTTTAGCAAATATGTCAATAAAATATAATAATTTTTATGCCCTGAAGAACTTCTTAGCACTTCTAAAAACATCCATTAAAAGTAAAACCAAACTTTGAGTACTGGATCAATGACAAGTGTCATTGGCCCAGATACTGTCTTAGTATAATTATTTACCAAAACATGCTACAGTGGTGATGAGGACTTGATTAAAGATCTTTTTTTATGATATTCCCAATGCAATTTTATTTGATGACAGAGAGAAAGAGTTGACATTTCCACAGAGGAATTAACTTATTAAACAAGGCCCATCAAAAACTGGAACAGGGTAGAGAAGATAAGTCTGGGGAGATTTCTCGGCTTTACATTGAGAAGCTAGAAAGACTAAAAAGGGAAGGCAAAAAGGGGTGAGGTTTTGGCCCAGAGTCACAGGGTCTCTGTCAGCCAGACTCCCCAGGACTGAGTCATCCCTGTGTTCTGACTCTAGAGGGGAGCCCAGGGCTACATCCTCAGGTGGATCTCAGACTGCTGGCCTCAACTTAAATGTTGCCACAATTATGTAAGAAATCAGTGTTTAGAATTAAAATAAATTAGGCTATTCTTAAAAGTGAATAATGGACCTTCTTCAGGAACATAAGGAAAGGTTGGGTAAAGAATTAATGTATTGGCATTAAAGCTTTTAAGATCAAATGAAGTGATGGGGAATTGTGTTTTAAAAATTCATGTACATTAATACACATGCTATTTTGAAACAATCGTGGTTTGCTTATGCAATATATCTTAATAGGTCTGTGGTATCTACAAAACCTCAAAACACTGGTGAATTTCCCTTTTTAAAAGAATCTTGGCATTTACTTTGGATTATTATGAATGGAATGCTTTCAAAGAAATCTGAATGGAGGTTATTTCCAATGAGTGCCATTATGGGTGATTTTTATTTTCTACTTTTTGCTGATCTTCATATTTTTAAAATGATAAATACCCATGTCTACTGCAATAAAATTTCTTTTTTTTTTCTTTTTATTGAAATAGGGAATAAGGTATTATGTAGTTCGGGGTCAGTTTTTCAAACCATATATTATAGAACCTGCATATCTATATCTTCATAATGAGAAAAAAGCCAGGAACAAGTATTAGAAAAAGCCTCTGAGTTTGTTAAAAATTTGGCTGGGGATGTGGATCAGTGGCCGAGTGCCTCAGAGTTCAATCCCTGGTATCCGCCCCGACTTGCCAAAAAAAAAAAAAAAAAGAATTC